ACCCCTTTCGCCAGTGTAGTCACTAGTCCGGCCGTATCTTCATTTAGGACATCATTAAAACCGCCTGAAATTATCACGACCCTATTGCAAAAAAACGTCATCCTCAGCGTGATGCCAAAACGTCTTTTGGCATTTGTACACGCTGGATACATTGCGCACTGGTTAATAGCTGTGCCGCACTGGTATGGGCACTGGCCTAACCGCTGTGATGCTCGTGGACACTGAGAAGCACTGGAAGCACTTAACGTTTCACTGGCAAGCGCTGGTGAATACTGGAGCACTCACTGCTTCTACCAGCGCAGCGTACACAATTATGTAGTGTGTGCATGGTATGTTTTGGTGTGGTTGAATAGGAAATGCTCAATTCGACGGCATGGTTAGATCATACTCTAAGAGTTCCTGAGCATACGCAATTTTTGTGGTGCACGTATGCGTCGCAACAATTGATCCGCTTTTTCGCATGTATGGCTGTAACAATTACATGTTGCACTTTTCATAGGCCTGAAGCAGGATACCACACTTAAGAGAAACAGGAAATTGTTTATGCCGCCAAGTTCACGAAACGCAAATGAGCTCACTCGATCGCTTTGGAAAAATTCCCAGCGGAGGCAAGAAAAACAGATGTGGCTTTATTCTGCCACAGCGCTTAAATGGATGTCTGGCCATGCTTATCCTTCTACTTACTTCAAGTAACAGTTAGAAATGTTCTGAAGCTCAAATGCAGAAACTTCAGCAATTCAAACTCACCGCGTCGAGAGCGGTCTTACGAAGTTCCCGGCCCAGTGAGCCTTAAGCCTATCGTGTCAGCCGTATCTGTGTATATGTTACCGGCGCTTCTTACTTAGTGTACACACACTTTTAAAGTGTGAAAAGAACTGTAATGTATAGTTTATATATACATGAAGCTGAATCGAATATTTTGCCTTGTGTCAATGCCTGCACAAGGAGCACTGATCGATGCCTGGCGCTTTCAGCTACGCAGGCTATCACCGAGAGCTGCCGGCCACACTTAGCGGGTACTTCTCTGGCAGATATGTAAGAGCACGCAATTTCCAGCTGGTAATTTGGTACACCTTCATGAACTGACTACCTGGCATACGTTTTCAGCGGATTGCATTAGTATTTTCTTGGGCATTTTTATAGGTAGTATTCATATAACAGCAAGTCTGTACATTGGCACGCCCACTTTATACTGCCAGCGGAGGCCAGAAAAACAGCTGTCGCTCAGTATCACCCCTCCGGAAATGCATGTCTGGCGATGACTGACCTGCTTATTTCAGATATAGTTTAGGTAACAGTTAGAAATGTTGCGAAGCTCAAATGCAGATACTTCAAGCATCGCAACTTAGCTGCGTCGAGAGCGGCCTTACCCAGTGCCTCATCCCAGCGGCCGCGTCGCTGTACATGCTACCGGCGATTTTCGCTTTGAGTAGGCGCTATTCTAAAGTGTAAGAAAGACTGTAAAGTACAGTTTAGACCTCTCTGAGCAAAAATTAACCATTTATCCGCGTATACAGTGCCCGCACAAAAAGCGACGTTGATCGATGTGTCGTGCTTTCAGCAAGGCAGGCTGTCACCAAAAGCTTCGTTCTGAGCTGTATAGGCGGTACTTTTCAGACTCATATGTACGAGCAAGCATTTTTGAGTTAGTAATTGGATATGCCTTAGTCAACACACTGGCATACGTTTTCAGAGCATTGCATTGCATTTTCTTCAGCGGTTTCTTAGTTGCAGGTATCAATATAACTACAATTCTATACATTGGCACATCGGATGCTATATCGTGACTTGCGCGAAAAAACTACTGGATATTAGATCGTGTGCACGCGTATGTACCGAACAAGTCATTTCGAATCATCTGTACATGTTGATCAGTACCAAATGCGAAAATTGATTGTCAAAGAAATAAAACATCGGCAGCAGCAGGCAACAATATGTGGCTGCTACTCTAGCCAAATAGAGGTTTTTCAGAGTTAAGATTAGATTCTTCGAAGAACTTTGCGCTCTTGCGAATATCCGCCCATCATTCGTGGCCCAGAAGCCATTTGCCACAATCGAATCAAGACGCTCTTGTGATTTGGAAAGGAATATCGCATCAATCTTGACTTAGCGATTTGTAAACATGAGGTTGAATGGCGTGTTCTTAGCATTAAAGGTCATTTTACAGCCAATCCAACATGTGTTGGCGTGGCTTAGTGGACAGAGTAAGCGCGTTCAAATTCGAAGGTCCCAAGTTAAAATCTTGCCGTGGGGCACTATATTATTGATCATTTCTTCAATTTTTAATGTGCGTGTTGTTGACTTTGTTTTTTACTTATTTATTTATTGTGAATGGGCACCTCCCGTTTTGACCCTTTGAAGCCATTTTTCGCAGCGTACCCAGCGCCCCTCAGCACTGGCACTGGGATGCTGCTGCACCGGCGTGCCAACACCAGCGCTTGGAGGCGCTAGTACCAGCGGGATACTGGGCCCATAATCAGGCATGGTGCAGGACGCTGGTACCCAGCGGCGCTGGTTTTTGCAATAAGGGAGGTTTTGTCGATCAGCTGTAGTTGTGAGTTTTGCGCTCGCTTACCTCATGATTGCTTTCATCTTATGTGCTGGCAACGTCTCTCTTGAAAGCCACTTGTCACCACTTACCCTCTCTTTGATTGCTTCTGCTTATTGATTTAAATTCAAGTCCAGGGCAAATATTAGGCGCTGTGACTTCTCAACCACAGTGTATCGCACCTGGTGGTTACTTGCACCTGGGGTGCCGGCTGCCTTTTCTGCTTCCGCCCCCACCACTACATTGCTGAAGCTAGGTCTTGCGACCAGTGAACCGGTTGAACCTGCTTGTTTCCTAAATTGTTTTCCGTTTCTTTTCCGCCGTTCTGGGTTCCGGTGCCCTACTGTTCTCTCCTTCGGCCGCTCTTTTGTTCACCTTCGCTGGTGCCTCCTCGACTAGCGCAGGCCTTTCTCCATTAGCCCTCGTTTTTCACCACTCTGTCACCAACACAGTCTCAATTCGGCAATTCTTATCAGCAGTTCATTTTGGGCAACCATCATTTTCCCCGTTTTTTCCTCGACCTAACGTTGCCTACACTTGGCGTTAGCCTCCTCTGCATTCGCATCCGCACTAGCCTCTTTTTGAATCCACCCGGCATCCTTAATATTTTACAGTCCTTTTAAGCAGGTCTTTCTGACACCAACTGCCCTGCTGAATTATCCCACTCGATAATTACAAAACGCCGTGTACGTTCAACGGTGCCCTAAGCAAAAAAAGTGTAAGCTCTACTACAAAAACTTACCTGTTCGGCGTACGTGCACCCCTCCCCACGTGGTAGAAGGAGAAAAACCCACACACACGCACAAAATGAAGTAAATACGAAGTGACTGACCCTACAAAAGCCGTACAATGTAATGAGTGCTATAAAGGTTTACACTCTTCCCTAAGTAATTAATTAAGCAAGCTCAAAACATGCGCTTACACCAATCTGCACAGTCGATCGGGAGCCCTCGCAAAACACGTCGATCCGCCATCTCAGCCCGAACCGACCGTGGGTGGCGGTGTGCCATTTAGTCAGAATTATTGAAATCGCTGCTTTGAGCAGCGACTGGATAATCGTACGCCGAAAACACTGGCTTACACGCGAGTGTTTTAGTGTTTTTGTTCTTGCAGTCATATCGAGTGGCAAAACGTATCATAAGCTTGTCTCGCGTAGGTGATTTAGCCGCACAAGCACTCTCACGATTTACATACTCTATAGGGATCGGCTCTGTTATTGGTTGTTCACTCTGAAGCAGTCCTTGATTTCGGACTTTGAAGTGGCCAGTTGGCAATCAATCTACAGCGCTAGGGTGAACGAGTAACCATCTTTAGTCTTTATTTCTTGCTTGGTTCGTTTTTCCTTCATCGCTGTTTGTTGAAGAGAGACAAAAGCGCATTCTTGCATATTGATAGCATAATCGGCTCCTGTAAAACCTATTCAGTTTGCCGCAACATGATCACCATTACAACCAGTATTTATAGTTGCGATGTCATAAACAGTGTCGTACAAGGGAAATGCCGCAAATTGCGAACAGCTTGGTGCGCTGTTTGCTTCTCGCTCTGACCTCAATGGCAGTAAAAGTGTGCCAGAATGGTTCTTGATTGTGCCACGAATATTCCTAGCGAATTTTTGCCACTATACAGGCTAAAAATGCTGGCAAACAAATATCAAATATCATAGATGTTCCCTCTTCACGCTTCTTCTCATCCTCACTGCGCGTTGGGAGACGGAAATCAGGCCAACGAAAATTTGATGAGTCGTAAAAGACCTAGTAAAAAAACCTGAATACACAATCGCATTGAATGCTGGAACTTGTCAGCCACTTCACGCATAGAGGACTTAAGCCACGGAGCATACTGGATCAGAACATTCGCGCTACCTAGAGCTGCATTGCTGCACATATTTTCGGACCGTGTCGTTAAGCTAGCTAAATTCCGCGTTCTCAGACACAAATGATTAATGGTAAAAAATGGTAGCAAAATGCTGTGGTTGTAACTTTCACGTTACAATATTATTAAAATCACTACTGTTTTGATTAGTTCACGTTGTCTACTATCCGGGACCATGGCTCTCAAAGTTTGGTGATTCTAACGACTTGGTACGCATTCACGTCGTCCTGCAATGCAATTAGGTTAGCGATAGGACATGTGCCTCCTTGTTTCTGAAATACCACATGCATGGATGTTGGAGACATACAGCCAAGAAGGACGTCAGGTCAGTGCGAGAATGGTCCCTGCGAATAAGGCATCAACTTAGTAGAACTTGCAGGCAATCACCAATAGAAGAAATAAACCGTGTAGTACGGGCCTAACCCAGATCATAAGTCATCTCGGTCATGTAATTGTTACAAATGAGGATGCCGACTACTTGTGACCATGAAAGTCGCCGGGCTCACAAAAGGACGATGTCACACAGACATGAGCCAGCGCTAAGCGGCACTGAACAGAAGTGTGAAAATTCGAAACATACGTAATATCGGCCAGGAAGCAGAACATTCTTGCAGTTAGGCCATCAAAAAATGGGGTTGGAAGAGATGTGTCGAAGTCTTTCATCCAGCCGAACTGAAAAGCAGGGGGGAAGACAAGTTCGTTAATACTTTCTGTCAATGAACTGACGTAACATGGAGTGTTGGGTTAGTTGGTATAGATTCGTGTTGAAGCGTAGGGCGGAGAAAACTGGACACAAGAATAAACACGCAGGAAAAGCGCTAACTAGGAACTAAACTTGAATAGAAGCGAGATCCTCATCTCATATTTTGCCCCACTGATATGACATAACGTGATCATTCGCAAAAAAACGAACAAATAAGACGCAAAATAGAACCCAACAGACTATAACAAGGTGTGGGTTCGAATTAGTTGGTACTTCAAGATAACCTAATTCCTGCGCTTAATACTTTTGACTACGCAAAATTTTCTGCATGTTCATGTTTTGTATGCTGTCAAAACATTTTGCGCAAGAAGTAGAATTCGAAGAACTTGCAAAGAATTTGATAACAGGCATTATCTACGAAACCGCAAGCTGAAGCTAAGTCATAATTTTAAGGTAAGCATACTGCGCTTCTGGTAGATCTATCAATGGGTGGCGAACAATCGTGTCGATAATTGATATGTAGGGTTTAACGTCCCAAAACCACCATATGATTATGAGAGACGCCGTAGTGGAAGGCTCCGGAAATTTCGACCACCTGGGATTCTTTAACGTGCACCCAAATCTGAGCACACGGGCCTGCAACATTTCCGCCTCCATCGTAAATGCAGCCGTCGCAGCCAGGATAACATTCGTGTCATTCTCTCTTTTTATCAAGGCAGTATGAATCATTTCCCTAGTCTTTCGGCGCTCGCGAGCGAGCAAGACCTGTGTCGCCTCAAAAAGGGTAGAACTTGTTTTGCGGCTTTTTTACGATGCACCGCAAAGTGTGAGCACGGCGTACCTTTTAAGGACATATATTGTGGCCTCAAAAACACGCAGGCGTGAGCAAAAGTGCGCATATGGCGAAAACAAAATGCCGAAGACCTCAATCCGCCATCTAGCAACGAGACTTTTACCATAGCGAAATAATAGGCAAGTTAGGAGGCATCATCAATATCATCATAATCAGCTTGACTACGACCTCTGCAGGACAATCGCATCCCGCGTGATCCGCTAGTCAACTCAGTTCTGGGCTTGCTGCTGCCACTTTATACCCGCAAACTTCCTAATCTCATGTGCCCACCTAACTTGCTGTCTCCCGCTAACTCGCTTGTTTTCTCTAGAAATTCAGTGAGTTACCCTTAATCACCAGCTGTAATCCTGCCTACGGGCTACATGTCCGGTTCATTTCCCTTTCGTCTTGCTTTTAATTATGATATCTTTATCCCCAAATATTTCCCTGATCCACTTTGCCTTCTTATTGTCTCTGAAAGTTACACCTATCACTTTCCTTTCTATTGCTTGCTTTGTCATCCTCGATTTAAACTGAACCCTTTTTGTAAGCCTCCAGGTTTCTGCTCTGTAGGTAAGTACATTAAACAAAAATATACCAAGCAAGGATGAATCGGGAAATGATGCCTCTGCTCTGCTCTGGTGGCCTCCCTTAAACCGAGTTGTACCGAGGCAAATACATTGGTTTTCCAACTTTTTACTCGGGTGGGTGGCCGACGAAGGAAACCGATGGAAAACGGGGCCAATATCCTAATTATGCTCCTGTGGTTGCTCTAGAAATCCTCCGGCACATCGCTTTTGCCTCGTTGGATGCTCCGAAAATGATCTGGAAAATTGCTTAGTTGTATTTATTGGCTGTTCGAGAAGTGACGTAGGCAGCCTCACTGCCGGGAGGCCGTTCCCCACAAGCCAACATAGCGCTGGTCAAGCCGGTGCATTGATGATTATGCGAAGCGTTCGGCCGCGTTCGATAAAGTGAAATTGTTCTGTGCACCTTCTGGATATCACAAGCGACTACAAGCAGCAACTAAGGTTATCATCGACTAATGGTAGTTGTGTGATGATTCCTGGCAGTGAACGACACATCGTAATCTCGCGAATGTTGAGTGACCTGGTGGTCGAAAAAATAAATTGATGAGTGAGCTGTTCTTGAATTGTCTGTGCTATTCTTGTCAGGAAACTTCAAGATTGGGTAATATTGGTTTGAGACCAAACAGATTATCAATAATACGCTAATGTTACAACATACAAGTGACAAAGTCAGCGGAAATTGTGATAACGCGTTGTTTGGAAAATGTCTTTTACTCCTAACATAACTTCAGTAATATTATTCAAACCGCTGTATAATTTGGAAAGCTGCTTTGAAAGGATAGTTGTTTCTCGGTTCTATTAGAAGATAATAACTGTTACAAGTAAACCTTACGGGCTTGAAAATTTATTTCGTCTTGTCAGTAAACATAAACGGTAATATTTTTCCACTTTCCTTATAAAAAAGGCAAGGCAAGGTTTAACACTGAGTATACACTCTTTTCAAGTATCGTGTATGTTAACCCTATGAAACACAAATAACTAATAATTCTTTTTAAATGTAGTGAATTGAGGTAATGTGATGTGTTTGCTACAGATATTTAGAGCGCATACGGGAACTTATTTTGGTGAAAAATTATTTTGATTGTATAGGTGGCATTGAGATATTTAAGGGGATCATCGTGTTTTCCGAACAACAAAGAGAGAAGAAAAGGGGAGCACTAGACCCATGACAACGAATGCGAAAAGAATGCAAACAGGTAAAACGTCGCTTGGAAGGACGGGTTGCGGAGTGTGGATGTTTCCATGCAAAGGGGAATAAAAAGAAAAACATTTCGCCGCACTATTGACTGTTGTAGGAAGGAGAGAACGTGGTAGTGAAAAAGATAAAAGAGAGGTCACCTTCTCGAGAAACTTGTTTTATTTTATCTTTTGTAATTTTTGTGTGTTTTATTTTCTGTGTTGTATGTGTTGTAAAAAACTGTGAAGGTCTAATTTGCTTGAAGTACGATGATGAGCACCAACTAGACTGCGCATGTAATATCAGCAATAATATCTCAAAAAATTACAAAATGATCGGGAGAGGCATTATTGATGTTGTCTTTGAGAGCATCAAAATTTGCTCATTTTAGTGAAAAAAAAATGCTTTGAAAGGTTTCAATAAGGGCTAGTAATTGATTTATATGTGAATTTAGCGTCTGAAAACCACCATTTTTATTATGAGAGACGCCGTGGTGGAAGGATCCGGAAATTTCGACCCCCGGGGGTTCTTTAACGTGCACCCGAATCCGAGCACGTGGCCGAAATGAAATATCAGTGAGAAATGCTCCAGATCTGCCCCGCAATCGCTCCGGTCAGCCGGAGTATACACTTCGCTCCGGAGGCCCGGAGCAAAATTTATTCTAAATAGAGGGGTTCCTAGAAGACAAGCGTTTTACTCCGACCTCGAAGTAATTTTTATTGTTTACCGGCAAGATGCAGCATACCTTCCTTTTGAGGGATATTGACAATCATTTAGACCTAATTGGAGTGTGCTCGCTGAGTGTGCTCCAGCCCATTCTTATTCTTCTAGTTACTTCAATCTCGTGGTTGGCTCTACGTTTATTACAAGGCCTAAGTAGAAGTAGTGTTTCACAACTTCAAGAGCACTGTAAATCAGTTATTGAAAATGGAATATCAGTGTCTTGTCTTTTAGGGGCTATAGTGAAGTCCTGTTATCACGCAATAAAAAACAGTTTTTCAGAACAAGTAGCACGGATACCCTTGGTAGGTTTCTCGAAACAGGCTTTCATCAGAGCTGTTGACAAAGTTATAAGGATAGCAAAAGACATGCGGGCTTCACCTTCAAGGAACCGATTCAGTAAAGATAAAAAAGAACTGTACGGTTCTGCCGTACATTCACAGGTTTTCTCACGGACAAAAAAAAGTTGCTGGAAGGTATGACATTGAACGTTATTTTCAGCGCCTCTATTAGTGTGCAACATGTGTGTCAGGGCCTTAGTGAAAATTTAAAATTAGGGGAAAGAAAGTGTAGTTGTCGCCTAAAATAAAAATCGAAGTTCATGAAATGCCGGTGAGGGGTGGTATACCTGATACCACTAACCTGTGAAAATGTGTACAAAAGCCAGACTGGCCACTGTATTATTAAACGACTAAAAGAGCTTGCTACCTAACTAAGAAAAGAAGCATTTTCACATTTGTCAGCTAGTTGTAAATCATGGCATTGCATTGCCGTGTTTCACGGTACAGATATTTTTGCTCCCACACAGAGCGAAACTAACAGGTGAACTTACGGAAGGTTTCCACAAAAATAGTTGTGGAAACAAATGCATCAGCAAACCTTTGGTGGCTCTAACTTGGGAGTACAGTTTTTTAAATTCTGTTTAGCCATATCTTTCTATGTTTGCCTCGCACACGACTTGCACGTTCGCAATGCTGGTTCCCGGGTACTTATATGTTTTGTTCCTTTTTAAATAAATCAGGCAATTGACAGCTAGCGCTCGTCAGTCTCTTTTTTTGTTCGGTATTTTGTGTGCGCTAAAGAAGTTATAAACTGGATGTCACTTTCCTTCCACCGTCAAACTTGGTGGTGGTAAGATTTTTAATATTAACTCGTGCTTTTTCTTTACGTAGCGGCTCCTACGGGGAGAGTTCCAGCGCCGGCCCCCCGTCGTTATTTGTACCGGTTAATTAGCTGAGTTAAGCGTAGCTAGCATCGCGACATCTGTTGAAGCTAGGTACACATAATTAGGTTTTCTGAATTCGGCTTGCCTTTGTCGATGCAAGCTGAGTGGCGCTAAAGGTGAAGGTGTGCCCTTGGGCCACAAATGCCATATATCGATGACGCATTATTTGCCACGTTTCCCAATCTTGTAATCTAAATATTTTGCTTAACATCTTCAGACAAAACAAAACAAAAATTTCACAGGCAGTTTGTGCTGTGTAAGGTTGCGTAAATATTGACTCTGTATAAACGCAATTACTTCCAAGCGTATCCTATGCAGCAACAGATTTCTCGATTGTAGCCAGGCGTTAGTTGCATAATTGTGTGACAATAAACTCGTGTACCATGAGTGGACTTGGATATCGCGCAAATTAGAAGGTAATATTTAAAATTAGTTTTATGTATAAATAGTTGTGTTTTACCTTAAAGGGAAACTCCGATGAATTTTTTACCATACCCATATAATGCTGTTTTAAAATAGTATCGACAGTTTTACAACAGCTAGGCAGGTTGATTGTGTCCAGGTACTCGTAAATAATTTCATTTAACCAATTAATGATCAGTAAAAACAGAAAAAGACAAAAGAAGCTGCTACGTCCTCCATGGTGTTTATCGGATGACACCAGAAAAATCTGTCTCTGTTGACGTCACGAGACCCGCTACACACGCCACCGGCTAGCCATGGGTTAAGCATAACTCATGTGCCTCTTCGGACACGCGAAACCCAAATTAGCGATGTCATTCGAGGCGGAATCAAGATGTACCAGCTTGTCCGAACCTACAAGTGACAAGTTTATCAATGATTGCGTCTCTGTGTCAGCGTGGACGTATTGTTATTTTATCGGGCCACGCAAACTGATCGCAAGTTTTGGTTTAAAGAAACATGCACGCTCGTAGCGGTTGCCGGGCATTCTCAGATCTGGTTGAATGGAGCGAGGTTGATGAGAAATGTTCACATTCATTAGGGGCGAAGCTTCTTATGGCGTGGCTTGTGCGTTCCCGTTGTGAGTAACCACCCCTCGTTAATTCTTGAACCGGCCGTAGAGGACGGCACTTGTACTACACGCTGAAAAATGCAAAAGCTACAACATTAGAAGGCGTTACTTAAAGAAAAGAAGTATAGTTACTGCATATGCTACCTTTTGGTAGAAGAGTGGCGCATAGGCCCGCCATCCTGCCCGCTGAGACGTCCATGTCGTCTATTCTGTCAACAGCAGTCCCGTTCAGACGGCCGAGCTAACCGGCAACATCCCGGCGTCCGTACAAGAAACGCCACACGAGTCCAGAGCGCGTCCGCCCGCTGTGTTTCCATGCAGTGTTCATATGACGTTAAAAACAGAAGTGAACTCTTCAGCTGGGAACGAGTAGCAACGCATCGCCAGAGAGAGGAGAGCGACACGAGACCCGAGTGGCGTCAGACGCATTCGAGCGTGCTCCTGTCCCGAACCGCGTTTCCTTCAACATTGAGCGACCGCGGACTTACTTTTGACTACGATATATTATGTTTTACTTTTTAAAATTGAACATTGCCTCAGCCTATCATTTCGGACATCGCTGACACCTTTCGAATGTAGGAGCCGACGCAGCTCAGTGGCTCCCTACGTTTTCTCGCTCGTTCATAGCCTGTCGCTGGCTGAACGATTTTCACTTCAAAGAAAAGATATAAACTCCAATAAATATTGGCCTTATATATGATATTACTAGTACTATAGCTTCTTGGATGGAAGTTATTGTAGGGAGATATTTTTTGATATAGCAAACAAGAAAGCCTTGACACCATTTGCCGATAATCGTGTACACGATTTGTGACAATTAAAGTTCCGCAAATCACTCGTTTCTCGTAATTCTTCACAGCTTCCAACAATTAGGCAGGTGGCTCGATAGAAAGATTGCTAGAGCTGTCCATCCATGTTTTAAAAATAGCACAAGCAAACGAGAATTTGGAGCTGATATATATTTAGTCGTGGAAACTACGCAACACTGAGTCATGGCGCTGCACAGACAGCTCCAACACCGACGTCCACTAAAAAGGGACCACGCAAGACACAATAACAACGCCAACGAAGTTATACTGAGCAGGATTTCCTCGCCGAGTTGCACGGGCAGCGGTGAGGGTGGCGCCCGTGTAACAGTGGTCGTCAGAACCTGCGTGGCCGTTAAGTTGTTGGCCTTCCCTAATATGAACGCTTTTTGCACACGTGAACGCGCTGGGTGAATGGGGGCGTGAGTGGTGAGTTGTATCAGTGGCACAACTCCGCTACTTAATGGTAGCATATAGAGTAATTCTAAAAAAAAGGATTGACGTCACACGTACGGAATGAGAGACGATCGCGCCACTGAGATCATGTGTTCTTTAGCGGCACCTTACGCCAGGGGGCGATCTATAGAACAATAAAAACGCCGTTTAGGCGCGTGCGTACATTCACAACCTCGGCACGGAGGATCCACAAGGCTGGTGAGCGGCATGCGTGCGGGGCAGCTACGGCTCACGCTCGAAGAAGGGACTCCGACGTGCGGGCGCGCGAGGCAGAAGCATGCCGCCAGGAGCCCGGAGGACGACAGGTGGCCGAAGCAGCGCGGCAGTGGCGTGCGGACCCAACTTCGCCCTACTCTCCCTCATTCACCTTATACTTCTGTTTTTGTAGCGACCCACCGGCGCGTGAAGCATCTGGTGTACCACGAATTGATCTCCTCGTTGCTTAACATTGTGAGACGTGACGTTTACGGTGATTAACATGTTGTATGTAGCTGACAAAAGTCAACTGTCCTCGCGTCGTCGTCACCTCTTGGAAGAAACCACGCACGGCATCAGTCTGCTGGGGAAGGTGGGGTTTTTGGAAAAAGTAAAGAATTACGCCGCAGATACAGGGGGCCCGCGTTTACAACTGTGTTTCAGAAATCAGCTACCAATTTTGAAATGGGTTTTCTAAAAAAACTAAACAATTTATGGTTGTACAATTGGGTGCATATAACTACTTTACCGAAGAACAGGCATTCAAAGTTTTATTGAAAGTGGTGAGTATAAAATAAACACCCGAGTTCCTGTTTAATTCAGGAGTAATTAGTATCTTCCTCAGCTTGCAGTCTCTAAGCTCATAGAAATTTGACATCAAATACTTTGTTTGTGTTTCATTAAAAAATCTGAATCAAACTATTATAATCAAAATAGCTTGGGCATACAATTATCAACATAACTTAGTCAGGTTTATCCATGCTCACTTTGGCACTGCTTAATTAGCCTAGGCATGCATAATTACCCTACGTATGTCACATGAAACTGCAATACCTTGGGTATGTTCGATTGGATATCAAGCTAAGTATTCAGCCATAAAGTAGTATGCATCTTGACTCGCACAAGTTGGACAAAAATGAGCCTAGTTAGTATAGAGTCGGTAAGAGGTAATTGGTATATTGCTAGGTATGCCTTCTCTAGGCTCATGGGGAAGTTGACTTGAATTATTTGGCCGCAAAAAGGTTTGCCTTATTTGATCTTATTTTGCTTGGCTAAATAAATGGTAGCATTATCAATTACACTTAATTTGATTTGGCTGTACGTGCACATTTCTCGAACCATCATGGGTGCATCGAAGCTTTGCTACGCTAAACATAAAAACAGAAATAAGGAAAGAGCTAAATTAAACTTACTTACGCCTGACCTTAATAGGCAATACCACGCTCAACTAACCTTCACTCGATTCAGCTACACTTATATTGACTTAACTAGGCTGATGTACGTTCAACTTGTCCTAACCACACAAAGGCAAGCGAGCTGAAAAAACCTATAGAATCCAGCTGTCTTACGGTTGAAAAAAAGTTTCTGATTTTTGCGCAAGTGAGAAGGTTGTTGATCACATCGTCAGCCATGAGCATGCTTTTGGCCCATAAAAAAGAAAATATAGGTTTAGTTGATGTTGGAAGTCGAGAAAGAATGACCGCTAGCGGCACCCAACAGCGATGTTTTCAATCTACTGGTAGGACAAAAAATTCTAGCAAGTTGACGTTTTCGCCTAAAACAAACCTGTTTAACTTGAAATAGTATCTTACGCACTTGACCCAGCTTTAGGTTGCGCCAGAGACTAAATTTTTCTTTTTTTTCTCACGCGTTCAAAGAGGCGCCCTCTGGTGCTGCCAGAGGTCTGTTCGCTGGCCTTCATGCTTGCCTGCAAAGGCCGAAGAAATGCCAGCACGTAGTCCACCGCTGGACTCCGTGATCACATGAACTGCGAGCACAGAGTTCAGCATGAACAAGAAAGTGTGTGCCTTCCTTAAAAAACCACTAAGTCATTTGTTTTATTAATATGGAAAACTTGATGAACCCTTCACAAAGCACACACGGTTTCAAATTTCGACTTGCAATGGCACTACAATAGTCATCATTTCCACCGACAAGTGTTGGGGGCATTTATCTCACCGGTTGAAGGACACCGAACGGAGAAGAAAAATTCTTTTTACAAAATTTCTACAACCTTTATAGTTAACCGATGCAAGGTTAGACAATTCAGATGGTGCGCTTCTTATTGTGACAGAAATCAGAAAAGCAGTGAAGAACGGTACACAGTCCCTTTAATTTTGAATGCTTGGCATCATCGGGTTTGCGATGGTAGCTACAGTTAGTTAAGCTAATCAGCCTGCATACATAGAGCCCGGCGCTGGAACCACCACCCCCCACAGCCACCACGTAAAAAAAGAAAGAAAAAAGTAAACGGCACAAGTTTGGTGTAGGGCCACCCAATTCTCGTTTTCACTACGAGCGTCATTATCGCGTCCGAGAAAGTGACATGAGGAGAAAACGAATAGGACGGGATGTGAATTCGCACCGCAGCAGGCGCCCAGTCCCTAGATGGTGCGTCGACGCCGTTGGCCACGTGATGCTGTGATTGATTGATCGATATGTGGGCTTCAACATCCCAAAAGCACCATAATATTATGAGAGACACCGCAGCCAGGATTCAGTGCTGCGACCTGCGGGCAAGCAGCCGAGTACCTTATCTACTACACCACCGCGGTAGGCCAAGCGATGGTGTGGTTTGCACACATTTGCTCACACCTGTATTACTTTCAGTCAGCGCTCCGCCTAGTCTTAGTAGCACATACTAGAGTCAGTATCCGCCACGAAATCATACTGACGATTGCGTGAGTAAGTACTGATTATGACTGGCTAAGCCCATTTTGAAACAGTGAAAAAAAAGATAGCGAAGAAGACTTGACAACAGGAGCGTATTGCAAGTCTTTTTTAGTGACACCCGCACAAACAGCCCCACTCTCTTCACTACGCAACACACGCACACATAGACAAAAAATAAGTGGGCAACGCGGGTGGCCTTAGAGCATACATCTGGCAGGTTCATCAGTTAAAAAAACTAGAGGCGTACTTACTGGGTAGTACACATGTATTCCATTATTATTTTTAAAATTAACGAACTGATCGACCGCTGGCCTTGGTAATGGCCTGTGTGGGTCCCAGAGATATGAAGGGCAGCAACCCATGGTTTGTTGCTGACACACTTGTCTTCCGCTGTAAATGTAACGATGTGGGGGCTATCGAACGACTTTGCGTGGTGCACCGCTTGCCCTCCGTATGAGTTGTCAGGGTTGGGGATATTTATCGTGGCGAAGCATTGTGGCAAGGAAATACTTGAAAGCTGAAAGTAAAGCACCTACGCGATAGTAAATTCAGACAAATTCATAGTGAAGCGGATGGCAGTTTATCAGAGAAAGTAGCATTCAAGGTACGAAACCATCCAATCGATTTCGCATGAGGAGCTCTAAGAAACTTAGCCATTGCTTCTATACGCAATTTATGATCCTGCCAGTTCCTATTTACTCGGCCGCTCTTGATAGTTACGCTCGCTGCCACCACTCTGAAAGGAACACCAAAGTGACAGCAATAGAGCGTGCAGTTATACAAACGAACAATGGGATAATAGTTTGCGATGCATGATATGCAGATTTTTTCGCTCGTGGACGCCTTAGCCAAGAACAATATTAGTAATCTCGTTGCGCATGCCACACCTAGCAATTATTTATCGCTCCTTAATAATTTTGAAATGTCGTTTCAATGCGCCAACAGCGTTAGTGCATTAAACGCTAAGCTCTACCGCGATTTTTCCAGCGCTAGTCGCATTCGCGTGCTATAAAAATACACTCCTCATATGTGACAGTGGTACGGGGAAGTAAAAGTGGCGCCAAGCGAACCGAAAGATAAAGCTACAAAGCAACTGAGTGAGCATGCACGAGTGCGCACACTCCATCGCGTTCACATAATGAGTGAAAAAGACCACATCAATCTAACCCTTCTATTTAAACGCTCAAATGCACCTAACGCAATCCTTCTGACTAAAAGAACAGAGTCTAGGTGCACTATACTACGTTTCATATATAATTAGCAATGCTGTGCAATAGGTTCCATGAAAAATTTTATGTGATGTCTCCGCGAACTTGACACATTTTGCAAGGGCTCCCAATAAGCGCCGGCTGCGCACTGCTAGATCTTATTCCAAAGGCGACGGCACAAAAAAAAATCGCAGCATATCCACAAAGTGAATAATGATGAGTGGGCGAACCTCTAGAGGTTCATCAGTAAAACCATGAATCTTACGCCGTACATCATCATAAACATGCCACACAGTATATATATATATATATATATATATCAACCAAGCATCCGTCTCTCTGCCTTTGCCTGTCTGGCTGCCTGTCTGTCTTCGTCGAAACATGAATTGGTTGGATAGATTTATATAGCTGTACCCTTTAGATCAGGCGGTGGCTAGCACCAACAGACCGCAATACTTAGTGAACGAAAAATTTGATTTGTTTGTTTCCTTTAAAAAGTGAGGTTGAGGGCTAGTACTTTGCAGTGAAGGGTTTATTTTCACTCTTGCCTTCACTTTAGCTACCAATCAGATAACTTCCTTCTAGTTAATTCTGCCCGCTTAATGTCTATTTTGCCCTCCCTGTCACAAAACCCCAGTGCTTTGAAAAACTCCGCGCCATCATCCTGAACTATAGGGTGAAGCCCTTCACAGAACATTAGCAAGATCAAGTGTTCGTCACTTTCCTCTTCCTCTCCACACACACTGCATACCGTATCTACCCCTTCGTATTTGGCCTGATATGTTTTGGTTCACAATACTCCCATCCTGGCCTCAAAAAGTAGAGAGTTACTGAATTCAGGAACAGCGCAACCTACAAGTAGTTACTTCGTAACTACGGAAGTGAAAAAACAAGGACAGAAAAGAGTGCTGACTTTCAACAAACCTTCAATTATGTCCTACCAACTTGCCCAAGCTTCCACGTTTCATAATTCCACGCTTCGTAGAGAACTACACCGAGTATTATAATAGATCCTTTCCATGGCAATTTCCTGTCTAAAAGTTTGATAGCTCTAGTGCAAACTTCTTAATCATGCCAATTATCCACATATCGGTCTCAGCTTCTTTCACCTTCTTCTTAACCGATAGTTCTTTTTGATTTGGCCCCCTGCTGCTTTCTTAGTATTTACCAGCAATTTTTCTGGTTCGAAGTCTAATTTTTCTTCTCTTTCTCTAGACCCAAATGCTTAGAAAAATTTTGCATCAGAAACTTCGAATATAAAGTGGAGCCCATTAAAGAACACTATCAATTGTTCAGCCGTTTCCTCCACCTCTCCACATGAATTACACAACGTTTCTGTGCATTCGTATTTGACTCGGTACGTCTTGGTACGCAATACTCCCGTTCTGGCGTCGAACAGCATAGAGCTAACCCGAAAATTATCGTCAATTTTTTTTGCTCTTTTTTGTTGAAAATTTAGTAGGTCTCCTGTGATGATATTGTAAGCATTCTGATAATGCACAAGTCCTTCTCTGTTTCCATCTTTCTTTTTTCTTAACCTGCTTCTTAACCGATGTTCCCTTTAGGCTTGGTATTCTGCTGTTGCCTAAATACTTGCTTGACAATTTTCAAGTTTTTTTCCTCCTTTTAGTATCACCATTTTTATGTACAAGAGTCTGAAAATTTTCTAACCCAATGCTCCTCCCCTACATCTCTCAATCGCTCCTAAAATTTTACCTTGCTGCTACCTTCCCTGCCCTAAAATGATGTCCATTCCATATCACCTTGTACTCCCCGAATTGGTGTATGCCCGTGAGCACCTAAGGCAAACCTACCTATTCCACGTTGCTTTAATTCTAATCTTGTTTGAACTTCTGATGTCGTGCACAAGACCGCATTGCCGAACGTCAGACCAGAAATCATGACCTTTTTCCATATTTCTCTCACAACATCATACCTATTGTAATTCCACAGTGCCCTGTTTTCATCACCGCTGCATTCCTGTTACCTTTAGTCGTCCCGTATATTTCGTGTTCCCTTAGGTACTCGGCCCCATTGCTTATCTATACGCCCAGATATTTGTATTTGTCTGTTATCTCTAGCGTAACCTCCTGTATTCTAAGCTCGCTACCTTCATTAATATTAAAAATCATGACTGCTGATTTTTCCTTACTGAATCTAATATATAACCTATCTCCCTCATTACCGCAGATGTCCATAAATCTCTGCAAAACTCCCTTTCTGTCGGCCATTAGCACTATATCATCTGCGTACATCAATGCTGGTAGTGCCTGTTCAATGAGTTTTTCATGTTTTACGAAAGAGAGGTTGAAGCCAAGTCCACTTCCCTCTAATTCGGCAACTAATCCTTGTAGGTACATCATGAATAACAAGGGTGACAGAGGACATCCCTGCCTAAGCCCCCGCTTTACCTCTGTGGGCTTGGATACCTATTTTCTCTCTTTATATCTACCTTGTTACCTTTATAGATATCCTTTAGAAGATTAGTGACTCCATCTTCTACACCTAGTGTGTCCAATATTCCCCCAAGTCCTCTTGAACCACGCTATCATACGCTGCCTTGATATCCAAAAATGCTAGCCACAGGGGCCTGTGTTCCTTTTCTGCATTTTCGATGCACTGCGTAAGTGAGAACAAATTATCTTTTAACCTCTTGTGTTTCCGAAACCCATTCTGCAGTTCTCCCAGCACCCTCTCATCCTCTATCCATACCTGCACTCTTTCCTTTATAATCTGCATCGCCAGCCTGTAGACCACTGAAGCCACTGTTATAGAACGGTAGTTGTTTATGTCAGCTTTGTCCCCCTTTCCTGTATAGATCATGCTCATCCTGCTAAGTTTCCATCGATCGGGGAGTTCACCATCGATTATTGTTTTGCTCACTGCCTCTCTCAAAGTCTGCTTAGACTTCGGACCCAATGTCTTTATCAGTCTAATTAATTGGAATGCCATCTGGGCCTATTGTAGAAGAATCCTCCTCTCAGCCCTTTCCCACTCTCGTTGTGAAAATGGAGCCACTGCGCCACTAGATTCATCCTTGTCTATTGTGGTGCCTCAAGCACTTCTTTGTGAAAAGTTTTCTTTCACCCTTGTTCTTATATATTCAATAGCTTCGTCCCCTTCTAGCCTAGCACCTTGAGCTTTAGTTATACACCTCTGCCATAGGCTCGTCTCATTTCTTAGGGAGTTTAGATGGTTCCGAAATTTCGCAGCTGCCTTTGTATCTTTTTTATGTACTTCTGCCAGCCACTAAACTCCCTTTCTTCTAACCTTTTCATTGATCAAAAGGGATGCATTCCTTCTACAGCTTAGAAAGCTTTCCCATTTTCTTTCGACATCATCTGTCGGTTCACCCCACTGCTTAGCATGTTCCTTGCACTCCTCCTTGACCCTTTGCCAGTCTGTACTTTTATGATTGAATGCCCTAATACCACCCCCTTTCTGCTGCCATTGTTCTGTTACAATATTCTCACGCGTAGTCGAGATTGTTAGGAGGTTGTTCCATGTCCCTAAGATGTGTTTCTACAAAACCGTATACCATCAGCCTATCTTCCCTTAGCTGTTCTTTTATATCTTCCCACTCCAGCCTGTTCCTGCCACCCTGCATGTTAATATACCCTATGTCTGAATTGGCTCGGCGCTCACGGCTACGTCTATTTCTGCCCCAGACTCTACCTATCTTAGATACTGGTACCTCTTTGGAATCGTATCTGTCTATACCACCTGTTAAAGAATACCCCTGGTTGTTTTCCTCGTTACTAGCTATCCTGAACCAAGAAGGGCCCACGTGTCCCCAAAAAAGCTACTGCGCCCTGCAAGTCGCTAACCCACCTCAAGACCTAGCCACCCATCGAAGTCTTGTTGAAAACCACTCGCCTTGTGCACCTCTCTGTTTATTTCCACCACCTCAAAGCCTTTCCTTTGACTCATACACCATATCTCTCGGTTTGCGTTGACAACCACTCTTTGTGGGCTGTCGTAGCGCACCGGTACCTCCGGTATCGTGCATATCACTACCTGTACCTGAGGGGAAGTGGCGCGCATGCCATCAACCTCTTTCGCCAGTGGGGTGGCTAGTCCTGCCATATCTTCATTTAAGACATCATTGAAACCACCTGAAATTATGACGAGCTTTCGTCTATCAGCTGTTATTTTGAGTTTTGCGCTCGCTTGCCTCGTGACTGCTTCCAGCTTCCGTCCTGCGCGGAGCCGCCAACAACCCTGTCTACATTAACGATCACCTCACCCCCGAAAACAAGGCACTCTTC